GAAAGCATGGTAAGGAACAGGCACCGGGCTGGCAGATAAAGAGCCAAACAGTCCTGCAATGAGCGCAGAGGCGAACAGCAGAGACCTCATGGTCACAAAGAAGCAGGTTTCTCAAAGGTGGAAGGTGCGAGTGTGTGCTGGGTGCTCGCTCTGTAGAGTGTGAAGTATCACTGCAAAATCTGAGCTTGTGACTGAGCCGTCACGAGGGCCAGTGAGGCAGATTGAAATTGACCAGATCAAAGATGAGAGCTATTGGGCAATTATACTCTCCTCATGCCTTAAGTCACAGAAATAAGAGTTAATGCCAAGTTATGTTTACAGTGTAATATTATGGGCCAATAATTATGCTCCATGTCTGTGATGCAGAACTAATAAACGTGTGTGACTTAAAGAGCAAAAAGTTAAAGTTAGAAAAAACTTCCCTCACTTATAAAATATAATAAAAACACAATTTTACAAATGCGTGTCACAGTGCGTCATCTTGAGTCTGCAGAGAGCGAAGAGCTGTCAGATCCTTGTCTGCATTGCTCCACTTTACTTTTGATGACGTGCTGTTCTATCAAGTCTCCCTTGATGGCAAATGACCACTGAGGAAACCTATATCATCATTTCCTGTCCTTAGTTACCAATATCAGTGGAGACCATTGCTTAAATATGGCCTTTATACCAGATCAAAGAGTGAATTTACACCAGAAATTAAACCACCAAAACCCAGGATCAGAAGAGGGAACGAGTGCAGCAACAGTTTCGATGATCTCTGGTAAACTAAATTAAATTACACACACAAGCATAATATAGTTGCAACTTTTTATTGGTATTTTTCTCAGAAGTACATACATTTGTCAATCTAAAACTACAAATTCAAATGTAAGAAATTCATGAAATTGTTAGTATCTAAGCTTTAATTATTCAGATATTAGTCAGAGATACTTAGGCCTAATTGGAAACCAAATGCAACAAAATCTTGACAAGATCTGGTGAAGCAAATTCAACATTGATGCTTCTTAGTCTGTACAGGTGGCCATTCCATAACCTAGGCAAGCCCATTCATTGGTCATCTCCAGGAAGCCCGGTGCTGAGGTGAGTCCACTCGCTAGAATGAAAACATTAATTCACAAACACAAATGGACAGAAATCAGATCATTCCACATTTGTGCTTAATAATCATTTGCATTCATAAAACAAAGATGTCTCTAAAGTTTATATTTCAACAGAGCAAGAATCACATTAATATATAATTAATGTTTATAATAGGAAATGCACTCTTGGACAAAATAATTCATGTTGTCAAGTGATTCTGGCTCCTGAACTCACCCGAAAGCAGGTTGCGGAGGTTGCAGTAGTTGAGTCCATTATCTAGAAGGCTGGTGAATCCAAGAGAAGTGGACGTAGCCTGGTAAGTAAGAAAATAAATACAAAAATTAAATACACAGCACCAATTTATACTGGGCGTTATATACTGTTACTTATGACTTTATTACTGGTTTTCAACACATTTACAAATCAATATTAATAATACTTGAGCCCAGACTGTGAGCCCAAATTTCTGAAGGGTTTGTTTGGTTATTGTTCAATAAATCCTCTGCTGATGGTTCAGTAACTTATCTCATATAGTGCATAAATAAAAATAAACTGAAATAAGCCAAAAGTCTTTCAAACCTGTATTTATATTAAACATGAGAATACATATCCCTCCTGCAGACAGAGGTCTTTTTACTTTTACAATTAAGCAGTTTAACACAGTTTTTTTTAATTAATTAATGAGCATAAGAGTGAACCCTTTACATCTTGTTGTAATACAATAACTAGTTTTATAAAACCTGTTAAAGTCACTGTTAAAGAATTAGCATCACTGATACTTACAGACACACGGCAGCTAGCGGTCAGCAAGGTGGAGGTCAATGCAAAAGTGATTTTCTCAGCCTGGAGGCCATTAGTAGAGGTGTGGTTGGCTGTGATATATTCAGGGGTGGCAAACACAAGCTGGAAAAAAAACCCAACATATTATTAGATTTAATATATTAAATTTACATACACTGACATTAGAATTGAGTTCTGTTCTTTTGTGTCAGTCTAAAACAGAAGTGGTTCTTACCATATACTGACATTCCTTACAGCCAGTCTCAGGGCTGAACACTTCAATCTGTTGAACTAGTTTGGCACTGATTTCACTACAGGGTGTTGCAAAGAGCCTAGAAAAATAAAAGTATGGACACAAAAAAAGCACAAAACAATTCATTTAAAATTCTAGTAAAATGAACATTCCTGATAAAAAAAAAAAAAAACAACTACAACAACCTCAAATTCTAATACACAAGAGACACAGACAAGAACCAGATCAGTAACTCTAACTCACCACTGTGTTCTGCAGAAGGCATGGTAAGGAACGGGAACTGGGAACGGGAAAGGGACGGCAGCTAAAGAGCCAAACAGCCCAACAAAGAGAGCAGAGGCCAGCAGCATTGTCATGGTTGAAATGGAGCAGGTTTCTTACTCTTGGAGCAGGAGTGTGAATGAGCGAGAGGACTGGCTGAGTAAATGCTTTCCTTTCAACCCTATTTATACAAAACATCAAGCTTATGATGAGCCCCTGTGAAGACCCTTGAAATTGATTTGGTGAAGGGTATGACGTGAGGGTCTTGTGCTGATTGTCTTTAATTACACAATAAAATGGCTCTTGTTTCAAAACTGTACAAATACTTGAGCAAAAAAAAATGTATTAATTTACAATGCCTCTGAAATTACATCCTAAGAACACTTAATATGAATACAAGAAACAATCAACAGTATTTTACATAATGAGGCACTTTCTTTAATATTAAGGGGTCAGCTAACCTAAACTGCTAAAAAATATTTATATAAGTATCTAGCTATGCAAATAACTGTGTTATGTATTTCTTTGAATGTTTTAAAATCCATGTATTTATCTCTGAGGTCTGTGCCTCCTTACCAGAACAACGGAGGCGACATTTTGTGGCTCTCTCAGCTTTGAAAGGTTACATTTAAAATATTCAACAGCAACACGTCTGTCCAGAAACAGTTACAGAAAAGAAGATGTCATCAGATTAAAGTTACATTCAGTAAAAAATGGGGATTATTAGCAGGATTATAAAAAAAAAGAAGAAGAAAATACAGAACAATATACTACCATGCACATTTGCATACATTACAAAAAAGTCTCATAACACCACTCTGGTGTCTGGAGTAAAACCATAGCTAATCCTATGGTTGCAAATTCATTTTCATAGCCTCTAGTGAAATAAATGCTTTAACTGGGTGGAAATTTTGACATATTTTTTGTGTTTAAAGCAGAAAAGGGAACAACATGACAGTATAGCTGATGCTAAAAATCTTTTCAAAGGTTACATTGTTCTGTTGTCTTATAGAATACAGTTCATCTTGTTGATATTTCATTTCTATTGTCTTCATTTGCATATATGGTGTTGAGGAGATTAAAAGTAACGGAAAGTTATTAAAGTTGATATTGTGATACTTGATACTTACTTAAATTACTGACTACATTTTTTAACAGGGAATTAGTAATTGCAAAGGATCACATTTTTAAAGTAACCCTCCCTAACCCTGCATGGTAATGAAGAATTAAATGATTTCATACACATCATTTGTTATTCATGTGGTCACTGTGACAGCTGCACTCGGATGTAAAGCTAACAAAAGACTTATGATCTGCGAATGACTATATTGACTATAATTACTGTGAAATTTAAGAATCTTGTGATTTCATAGCTAGAACAGTTATAATCAGCCATGGTCACTGAAACAGCAAGCACACAAACACACATCCTCACATGGATATGCACACATAGGAGATTACACACAATGACATCCTCTCTGTAAGAGTCATATAATAGCAGCAGGGACTTAAATGACACTCAGACACAGTTAATCCAATTAAAAATAAATAAAATGCAAGAACCTGTGAACACATCTCGTGTCATGGGCCATCCCTATCGTGCTCCTCATGATGAACTCAGCTCAAATACATTGTGTGTAAACTGTGACCTGGATTATTTCATTCCTAAAAAAAAGGGGTGGTTTGGTATTTTTGAAGTGGGATTGTATGAGGTACCTAAACTAGAGGGCATTTGGCATGCTGGTAATTTGGAGAAGCAAAATAAATATCTGTTGAATGCTATATTTACAATATTTTCACTGCTTTACGTCAGACAGCCATTTATATTGCCCTCTCCAAAAGACTACCTCGCAGAACACACCTCAATCCCAAACAACTAATGTTAGTTCGGATTCAAACTAACACGTTAAAACACAACGACACAAACTAACTAACTGAGGCAGGTCGAGGCGGCGGTAGACCAGTAACTCCTGTGTTCTGTGACGTAAAATCACTGTTTTTGTCAAAGGCTTTGAAGAGATCATAGATCGATATAAACGCTTCAGTTTCTCTGACAACAAGGAAAAAAGGTGTACAATATTCTAAATACAGCGTACACTTAAACTGATATAGATTATATTTGCTGGGCCTTTTTATGTGGCTGTGCTGCCCCCGTCCACAGCAGTGTATTGCTTCCACCGTCTACTGTGGGTGATACACTGACTATCTATATATATCTTAGACAACCCAATTCAGAATACCCAAACTATCCCTTTAAGGGTGACCTCTAGGTACCATGGAACTTATAAGGGTTTCATGAAATGATATCATTCTTTATTAAGTACTTTAGGGAAACGTTTGGAGAGCACGCAGGAAATAAGAGGGGAAAGAGATAGATATATAGATATCACATGCAACAAATACATCCGAATCAGGTGAATCCAATGGGGAATTTGCAATTACAATGTCATTACCATAAGACTTTAGTTCACCAAGGTCCCCCGGGGCCAGATCCTAAGTGCAAATAGTTTTGAAAAGAAAGGCAGCCTTTAGTTACACCCACTAATGAGGCATTAAGTAACCAATGAAGAGGCACTTCTGTGTGTGTTTCTTCTCGTGATCTTTAAAAGGCAGAGGGACTGAACACTCCAGAAGACACCACATCCAGTGACAACAACAATGCATATGAAAGCTCTTCTCACCACCTCAGCTCACCTCACCACCTCAGCTCTTCTCACACCTCACACCTCACAACCACCTCACAACCCTGCTACTTCTGCCGGCTGCCACCTCAGTTGCAGACCAGTCAACATGCACCGTAATATGGTAAATAGCACTTATTCTTTGAAGGTTGCTACTTGCTGGGATCTTTTTAAAATGTTGCTTTTTTAGTAAAATGCTAAAAATAAAAGTGAGTTTGTAAAATATTTTCTCCTTCCTTACAGGGTTTTTAAGCTGCCCTGCACTGAACCTGTCCGTGCTCTGGTGAATCAGGTGAAGGCGTGGAGCACACAGGAGTGTGATGACAGCCAAGAGAAGTGCATGTATGAGGTAAAAAAAACATCTTTGCTTTTTTTTTCTGTGACCAGCTAAAATTATTCTGACAAGGAGAATTGTTTAACCTTTACATCTGTGTCATTAACTACTACAACTTTATTTTTCAAGCTATAATGAACCAACTCTGTGGAATTCTCTACCACATGAAGAGCTCTTCTTTTAAAAGTAGACTAAACTAGTTTTAGTTTAAAGTTGGGTAAATCTTTTATTGTATAATTATTATTATTATTATTCAATTATTATTATCTCATCTCATGTAACACCTGTCACATGAAATGTGCTATATTAACAAACCTGACTTGGCTTTTTAGATGTTAATGAAATAAGCGAAATACGGTGGCTTTTCTAAAAAATTGCAACACACATTGCAATGAAACTGTGGGCAAAATAATAATAATTGCCTTTTGTTGGTATAATTCATTAAAAATCAAAGGCAAGTTGTGCCAGTGAAAAAAGTTCAGTGAAGTATGGCTCAGTGTTTTACTTGGTGGGACTTCTATGATTGGTGAAATTCACGGGAAACTACAATGATCGGTCAGAAAGTTGCAGTGATTCACGGAGATTGGTTGAATTTGTGTTAACTGTTGCAATCACAATATCTGAGGGACCGAATAATAATGATCATTGCAGAGTGAATTGGTCTTGCTCACCTCTGGTTGCATAATAGTTTGTTTTTGTTTTTGTTTTGTCTGTAAGATGATAAAGAAGCTCCCCACACACCTTGAAATTAAGCACACATCCCGCAAATCGCACACAACCACTCATATGATCCTGGATTTCTACCCTCCAGCGGCATCCGCTTTCTGCAAATTCAAGGTAGGTGGGCTTTTTATGACCTTTAAAAAATATCTATTGCTGTTGTCAGTGTTTATCTTACATTCAGATGTCCTTTTAACATCTCTTAACATTACTTTTGTTTATTCCTGCACAGGCCATTTCGACAACACCTCTGAATAGCCGGCTGAATGGCACCAGTCCAAACAACTACTGCCCATTCTACAATCTAATCAGTGGTATGAGATTCATTTTTAAACAGTAGTGCTTCTAATACTCTTAATATGTATTGTGTGCCTAATGTGCTTGTATGTCTGTTTGTACACGAACAGGAAGTGGGCTGACACAGGCAGAAGGCTACAAAGAGATCTGCAATTCGGCAATGTGCTCCTCAAAAGAATCAGCAACATGCATCACTAAAGGGTGAGTCCTGCACACTGAATTGTTATTATGGTTCAGTACTGCCTGTGCTGCTTCCGGGTTCCTCTCTACCACCGTTTCACCTGACACACAGGTCAAGACTCCACAGTTAATCAAGACTCCAAGCCACTGCAATATATAAACCCGGCTCAGTCAGCCAGAGTGTGGTACAGACGCTACAGCTGAACTCTTAGACTTATAGCTTATAGCTTGATTCTCTGTCAGTTTATGTGTTACTAACCTGTGTATCTCCCTGTATGACAAGCCAGCCACTAACCACCTTGAAAAATTGCTATCTACAGATGAATGTATGTATTAATTGTGTTATTATTAGTTGTAAAATTTCCATATAAACTTCTGTGGTTTTAAATAAATGAATAAATTCAGCCTTGGCCTGACTGCAGTGATGTTAACTCAGGTGATGTCCCTGGCCGCAGTGAGTGGGACTGATGAGATTTGAGTTTGTAAACCTTTTGTCACCATGTTAAAAAAAATAACAAATACTGAGAAAGTTGTACTTTATAGAGCATTTATATTCTTGAATTGGCTGACTTTACTAGCCCAAAAAGCGAACACAGAGAGAGAATTTTACTGGAACTGTCTGACAAATTAAATTTCAAACCAGGCCATGACTTCTCTGTGTGATTTATCACCGGTTCTTGGCACAGACACCCTGCGACCCATCACCTTACCCTCTACAGTATGTGTACATCTTGTCTCAGTGAGGAGAAGGCACTTGTGCAGGGTCTTGACTCTTGTGATGACCCTGTCTGGACCTGGTCTAGCTGCAAGACTATATAAACAAATGGCAGTCAGCCAGTCTTAGTTTAGTTTCTTTTAGTCATGTGAAATAAATCCTTTGTTCAACCTCAAGCCAGGTTGTGGTAAATAATTGGTTTATTATTGGACTTATTGCACTTGAAGTGAAGAATTATGTCCCCAGAGCAATTCAACAAAATTTAATAGGTGGAAGCCAGAGGAGAGAGGAAGAGAAGGTTATCATGTAACATTGAGAAGTAAATTATTTAATTTGGAAATGGTATATAATATTAATAATTTTCACTAAAGTATGATCACCTGAATGAGCAGTTTATATCTAGCCTACATGTTTCCTTCCATGGAGTCCGATATATTGAACCACCATGTTTCTACAGTAGTTCAGAAGGGACAAAACAAACACTGGGGGGCATTTTGCAGCCACCACAGTTTCTGCTTCGGAGAAGTGAGGGAGTTGTGATCTGATTTTACACCACTAGATGCCCCTAAATCCTACACACTGGACCTTTAAAACTATAGTTTCTCTAATTGTCCAGACTACCCAAAACAACAATATTTCTCTCCAGTTATTCGGAACAGTCAATTCACACTAGTGATGGGTTGGTCGCGAACGAGCTGGCTCTAAGAGCCTTATTGCCTTTTAAAGCTGCACGTGATTGGTCAAGATGTGTGGTAGAGTCTGTGTGTCTATACTGAGCAAGAGGGGGGAGGGGAGGGGAGGGGAGGGGTTACAGACACACAAGCAGCACAGTGAGCACACAACAGGAGGCAGGGAGACGAGAGAGAGCGAGAGGAGAGAGAGGAGAGAGAGGATTTTACGATTTTTTCCGAGACTACAAATGAAGATGAGTGACAGGAAACAGAGTAAAGTTTGGACACATTTTGACGTGTTAGACTCATCAAAGGCAGAGTGTACACTTTGCAAAGTGAAAATTTCATATCAAGCAGGGTCCACAAACAACCTGCACAGGCATATGAGAACTGTTCATCCAACAGTGCAATTAGAGGAGAAGAGACAAGCAAGGGAACCTGCTATAAATGAAGGTGCCAGTGTGTCTACTGCAACTGTTGCTGCTCCTACAACATCTACAGCATCAGCCAGTATACCACCACAACCACCTAGACCTACATCCCAGAGCTCTATGAGCCAGTTTTTGCAAAAGGCTATAACCCCAGCAAACAAAACTCAATTGATGAGGAACTGGCTAAAATGATTGCACAAGATTTTCAGCCATTTTCAATCGTGGAAGACAAAGGATTTAGAAGCTATACTCATGATCTCAATCCAATGTATGCACTTCCAAGCAGGAAAACGCTTTCCCAAAAAAATCATCCCAGGCCTATATGACAAAGAATGTGCTTTACTGCTAGGGGGGGTCAAAAAAGCCACAGGTGTTTGTTTAGCAACTGACTGCTGGACATCCTGAACCACCACATCCTACATGTCAGTTACTTGCCACTTTATTGAAAGCTACAAAATGGTGTCATGTCTACTGGATTGTTTTGAGTTTAGTGACAGACACACGTCTGAGAACCTAGCAGAGCAGCTGCTCAAAGTGGCAAAAGAGTGGGACGTGGAAAACAAACAACAAAAAACAAAAAAAAGTTGTGTGCTGTGTTAGTGACAATGCTGCTAACATAACAAAAGTAATTAAAACCCTGAAATGCACCCACCACCCATTTCTTGCATACACAATTAATTTGATTGTAAGAGATGCTCTGAAGGTGATGAAGATTTGAGCAGGTCACTGTAGAGATCAGTGCAGACAGGTACAGTGTACAAATGTTATCATGTTATTATTTTTATTATTATTACTTTTCAGTTATCATGTTTATTAGATGTTGTTGTTGTTGCATTATTATTATTATGAAAAGCAGATGAGACATGACGGGATATATAATAATACATACTGCTTAATAATACAAAGCATAATTCACTTATTTTTATTACTCTTTTTCAGCTATGTTACAGCCTCTAAAATGTTGATCCTGTGCAAGGGTCTGCAGAAAGTGACAGTTGAGCACCGGACCAGAATAGCCATGGGGAAAGTGAAGGTGTTAGTGGATGCTCTCTGTGCATCTTCCCCCCCCCCCCCCTTTCCCCCCCCCTCTTTTCCCCTTACCAAAAAAAAAAAAAAACCAACATGGAAAGAAAATTCCACAGAATGGAATACAACACTGTTCTGTCAGAAACTGCCATTCTTGACCCAAGATTCAAGAAGCTGGCCATCACTGAAAATAGAGCGGTGGATGAAGCTCTTCAGAGAATAACTGCAGCAGCAGCAAGATCCAGCCAGTCAAGTCCACTGCCAAGGGGCCAAGAGGGAGAAGAGGCAGCAGAACCAGAACAAGAGGAACCACAAGCATCTGCTGTTTGGAGATTCTTTGAGGAACGAGCAACCGGTGAAAGTACAAGGAATCCAATAGCAGATGCAATGTTGGAAGTGAGATCATATCTCGAGGAGCCCCTTTTCCAGAGAATTGCAGACCCACTGAGCTGGTGGGAGACCAAGTGTTCAGTCTACCCACGTCTTACACAAACAGGATCAACCTCTCAAAGTGGAGGCCACTGGTTTTTTTGAATGCCAATCTTCGCTGAAGACTTCTAGACACCTGGATGCTGCTTTTTCTTTTTGTTTTGCACATTTTAATTATATTTTGTTGAGTGATGTTTGGTTGATGTTGTGTTTTTTTCACTGTACATAGTTGCACATTTACAAATAATAATTGGACCTTTTTGTCTAATTAAAATGGGTCTTTTTTATTTTTCAATTATTTATGTATATGTGTTTATTAATAAAGCCATATAAATAATATACATATGATATATTGTATGTTTTTTTTTTTACATTAGTAATTCATTTTACACATAATTTGGTAATAAATTAATTTAAACAACAAAAAATCTAAGGAGTCACTTGGGAGCCGAAAGAGCCGGCTCTTTTAAGTGAGCCGAGCCAAAACAACCGGCTCGCCACAGAGCCGGAATTCCCATCACTAATTCACACATACTTGAGGCTTGAAAAAAAGGAGAGGAGAAAGTGATGTGAAAAAAAGGTTCTCAGACTAGAGATAGCTCCCTCTCCGTGCCCATAAAGACAAAAATCCACACAAGGGGGGTGCATAATGAAATTTCAACTTTTTATTGTTTTCTCTCTGTCTTCTTCAGGTAGGGTCATACATAATATGTGAGTGTATCAAACAATCAAATTGACCTAATGGGAAAACAAGGGCTTATAATTCAAATGCAACAAAATCATGCCAAGATTTGAGGAAGAAATTTGAACATTAAAGGTTGGGTGTTACAGGTTGCAAGTTCGAAGCCGGGGCAAATCCATTTATTGGTTACCTCCTTGAAGCCCGGTTCTGAAGTGAGTCCGCTCGCTAGAATCAAAAACATGGATGGAAATGAGTAACACAGTAACACAGGGAGGGGCTGAATTTAATATTTCAAGTGAATACAACAGCAACAAATAAAATGAGCAAAGATCTTTCAAAATAATGTTATGGCATGGCAACAAGATTCATGTTTAGAAAATTCTGGCTCCTGAACTCACCTGACATCAGTTTGTAGAGGTTGCAGTAGTTCAGTCCAGCATCAGTAAGGATGTTGAATCCAAGAGAAGTGGACTATATTGATCAGCAGTTCATCCATTGCTGGATTCCCCTGCTAGGGGGCTGCCACGGCAAAAAGTGAGCTGGTCACCATACTAACCCCCTTTTAATATGCAGTATGCCTCTATTTCAGCATTTAATTTATTTCTAAACTAAATTTGAATAATGGGCAGATAATTGTATAAACAGTTCCTAAAATGTCTGATCCAATATCAAGAATGCAATGACAAGAAGATAAAAAGACAAAGCCTTGTTGGCAGAGGTTGTAGACCAACTAAAGGAAGTACTTTATTTTTGCAATAATACAATTTAGGAGTGATTTGCTAATTATTACTCACAATTAATTACTAAAAATGTAAAAATAAAAAAAGATAATTTGTATATGAACCCTTTATACATATAAATATAATACATAATCATAATAAATATATGCCTGGTTGTAAAAGCCAGAATTGTAACTTGCTGCTAGTAAGCTAAATAGATAATCCGTTTTAAAGCATTTTATAAAATGAGCATTGTTGATACTTACAGGCACAAAGCAGCCACCAGTCGTTTTGGGAGTGAAGGTAAAGGTGATGCTTTCAGTATGAAGGCCATCCAGGGAAGTGTGGCTGGCTTCAACAGATGCAGGAGTGTCTGACACCAGCTGGAAAAGAAAAACATATTATTAGATTATTATAATATAATAAAAACGCTATAAATAAATAGATATGTGAGGGGCTGGCCTCTACATCCAAAGCACCGCCCTGTTAGGTAGAGTCAGAGGGAGCTCCCCGCCTTCATAAGGACAGGTGAGGGCAATTAGTGCCTCTTTGTCTGAGGCCTGGTTGTGTGGCAGGATTGCTGTGTCGTGCAGGTAAGGGAGAGAGGAGGAGGAGGAAAATGTTATATTGCCTTATTAGAAATCTAATGAGATCTTTTGTATATTTAGTTGTGGTGACTGTCCTGAGTGATCCAGATGGAGCATGCTCTGTAGCCCTGTGCTGAAGAGGTATGTCTCAGTGAACTTTGGGGCTTCATTAAACCGTAGATATATCACTAATATGATAAAATCTCTTTAGGCAAAGACTCAGCTCCTCCATCTCCCCTTTTAAGCCAGAGTAGAGCTTTTCAACTGTTGCATTGCTTCTTAGCAGAGCCCCACATGTACAAGGTAACTGAAACCAGTATGGTAAGGTAGGAGGGTCATGCCCTCTGAGGTATGTTGTTGTCAGCTGATGAGACTGACTTTTGTTATGTTTTCTTTCCCCTTATTGCAGATTTAAGGCCAGACTGCTGCTTTGCCTGAGCCAGTTCGCCAAGGTGGTTGGCGAATGTGTTACAGACTGTACAACTTACATAATCTGTAGATGGTTGAATACTTTTTATATTGGGTGTAGTGACCCTGAATGTCTGTGAATCTGAACCAACTGAATCTCACTGTATTTTCTGTCTTTTGTTTGATTAGGCAGTGGGACGACCTGCGGGGAGTAGTCGTGGGATAGGCACCCCTCCTTGCATGCAGTGTGGTATATTTGAAGGGTAGTGGTCACGTCATTGGGTTGTAGGTTTGACTTTCCTTGCAGTGCAAGTTGTAGTGTTTGTAGTGATCAGTGTGCACACAAGGTGATTTCGATTGGGTGATAGAGTCTCCCCGCGGTGAGTACCCTGTCCTGCCTATTCCTCGCGATCATTTAATCTTATTGTATTTTATGTTATGGTGAAGCCATTTGCTATTTATATACTGGTTGTTTTGACCATTTTAGTATTGTGGAATAAACTAATTTTGACTAGTTTTATGGTTTCTCTTTTCTTTTTCAGGTCTTTTGCCAGTATAATTTATTTTTAATAAATATTATTGGAGAGCTGAATGCACGTCTCCCGCTTTTCTTGAACCCTTTAAAAATTGTGTCAACGCTCAGATGGTTGGTGTCTAGGGCTGGTATAATTCTATTCTGGGTATCGGCCCGCATTGTAACCTGGGTGGGGTCACAAACTGGCGCTGTGAGCAGGGTCTTAGAGCCCATAGACGTGCATTCAAATCAGTTGGTTCAGTGGAATGATTTTAAGTGTATTGTTGGATTGTATTAAGTGGATTGTATTTTTCTTCTCTTTTAAGGCAAAGCAGCAGCTGGCAAGCTTATTGAAAGCTCTGTCCTGTCAATATTCAGTGGGCCTAACTTCATTCCCATGCCCAGTCTCCTTTAGTACAAGATGGACTCCTTAAATGTATCTCGGTCACAGTCAGGCCCCTCTAGCCCCCATGGGCAGGGTGACCCCAGCTCAGGGGAGGCCATTGCTCGGGAAAGATTAGTTTATATCCCTAGGGAAAGACCTTGTCCACTGTTCAGTGGCGTAGGTGAGATTAATATCCGGACCTGGGTTGAGGAAGTACAAGCTATCATGCGTGCCCGTAGACTTGCTACTATTGATAAGGCCCATTTTATCTATGATCATCTGATTGGTGATGCTCGTGAGGAGATTAAGTACCGGCCGCAGCAAGTGAGGGGAGACCCTGACTGTATTTTTGAGATCCTCCTGGCTCAGTATAGCTGCCCTATGTCTTTCATTGCAGTCAAAGAAGCCTTTTATGCTAGAAAGCAACAGGAGGGTGAGTCACTAAGGGAGTTCTCACATGCTCTGTTTTCTTTAATGGACAAGATGATCCAGAGTTGTCCAGACAAACGCATCCCTGATGCCGCTAAATTGCTGCGTGATCAGTTTGTAGAGTGTGTAGGGGATGGGAATTTGAGCCGGGAGCTTAGGAGAATGGCTCGTGAACATCCTGACTGTGACCTTCATGCTATTAGGGATGAAGCTATTAGGTGGGAACGTGAGGGCAGATCTGGGGAAGAACTAGGCCGACCCAGGAGTTATTCTGTCCCCTCAGTTTATAGCATGCAGCATGCCGGACAGGCTAGGGGTCAGAAAGATACTGTAGGGTCAGAGCTGGCAGAGCTTAAGGAAATGTTGAAGCAGCAACAGGCTCAAATTGATCAGCTTACACAAGGACTACGATCAAACCACACTTCAGTCAAGCCCAGACCCTTTCAGAAGAGAGGGCCACTCATCTGCAGACGGTGTCAAAAACCAGGACATTTTGCCAAAGACTGTGATAATGAAAGGGTCGTTGCTTCTGAACTTAGGGGTTCTACTCAGGGTTCAGTCATCCAGCCCTCCCAGTTCCAGCAGTCGGAAAACTAGCGCCCTCTGTTATGCTGAGCCACATTTCAGATGGGGGCATTGCTGGCTCCAATGGGGATATTCTACCAAATTCTGACCCCACACCCAACTTGGTAGGGTCCTGTCCAAAGGTCACCATTAGTATGGGGGGGTGAATATTTCTTGCCTATTAGACACTGGGTCTATGGTCACCACTATTACAGAGAGTTTCTTTGCCAAACATTTTGAGACAGGGGGCCCAGAGAAGCTGAGGGCGTGCCACTGGTTACGGTTACGTGCAGCCAATGGGCTAGAAATCCCTTACATTGGCTATTTGGAACTTGATTTTCAAGTCTTAGGCAAGCAGATCCCCAGACGTGGTGTACTAGTCATCAGAGATACACCAGACGCCAGCCCCAATCCAGAAGTGTGTGGAGTTCTTGGCATGAATGTAATACGCGAGTGCTATAGAGAGATGTTTTTGGAACATGGTCCTGCTCTTTTTGATCTTCCCCCAGTCAAGCAGAACCCTTGGCAGAAGGTTTTGCAGTTCTGTCACAGAGTCCAACCCCAGCCCGAACCACAAGTCCATGGCCCAGTCAGAGTTAAGGGCCGGCGAAAGATTCAAATCCCAGGCGGCACGATGAAACTGGTGCCCACTACCTGCAGAAAGGCATCTCCAGTTCATACGGGATCAGCCCTGTTTGAACCATTGGATTCAGGTTTGCCAAATGGTCTCCTCGCTTCCCCAGCTCTGGTCAAAGTGCTCAATGGTACGGCCTTCATTCCTGTAACCAATGTGGGGACTACAGACGTAATTTTACCTCCTCGGATTCAGATTGGCACCCTCTGCCAAGCCGAAATTGTCAGCCAACCAGAGAGCATCATTGAAACTATGGAGGAGGGGTCATCTGATGAGCAGATCGTTACCATGGCAATGCAGAGTGTGACGGACAACCCCCTGTCATCTGCCATTGAAACCCTTGATTTGTCCACTCTTGCAGCTCAAGACCAGGAGAGGGTAAGGTCCCTTTTACATGACTATCAGTCTGTTTTTTCTTCCCATGATTGTGATTTGGGGTGTACAAATCTGATTGCTCATGAAATTCCTCTTCTAGATGAGACACCTGTCCGCCAGCGGTATAGGCGTATTCCACCCTCAGAATATGATGCTGTCAAAGCACATGTTCAGCAGCTCCTAGAGAGTAAAGTCATCCGTGACAGTTGTAGTCCATTTGCCTCCCCAATTGTGGTAGTAAAAAAAAAGGATTCTACCATTAGGCTTTGTGTTGACTACCGTCTCCTGAACTCTAAAACTAGGAAAGATGCTTTTCCCCTACCCCGAATTGAGGAGACTCTCGATGCTCTGTCAGGTGCCCGCTGGTTTTCCACATTGGATTTAACCAGTGGGTATAATCAAGTTCCTGTTGCTGAACCTGACAAAATGAAGACAGCCTTTTGCACCCCCTTTGGCCTCTTTGAATTTAACAGGATGCCTTTTGGTTTGTGTAATGCACCCAGCACTTTTCAAAGGCTGATGGAGAGGATCTTTGGTTTGCACAATCACCAGTCATTACTGCTTTATTTGGATGATGTCATTGTTTTCTCTGCCACAGTGGATGAGCACATTCAATGACTGGGAGCTGTGTTGGAGACCTTGCGGGTGCAGAACCTAAAGGCTAAACTAGAGAAGTGTTGCTTCCTAAAAACAGAGGTAAAGTACCTTGGCCATGTCATCTCAAAAAGTGGTGTAGCAACTGACCCTGATAAGATCTCTGTAGTGGCAAATTGGCAACCTCCAAAAACTGTCACCGAGCTGAGATCATTTCTCGGCTTTGCTAGCTATTACCGTCGCTTTGTCCAAGGTTTTGCTTCACTGGCTGCACCTCTTCATCGTCTAGTAGCCGAGATGGGTGGCACAAAGACTAAAAAGCCATCCAAACGGCCCCTCCAAGAATCGTGGACTGAACAATGTGAAACCAGCTTCCAAAATCTGAAAGCCAGGTTGGTGGATTCCCCTGTATTGGCATATGCAAATTTTTCACATCCCTTCATTCTGGAAATTGATGCCAGTCATTTAGGCCTAGGTGCAGTGCTTTCACAACAGCAACAGGATGGCACCGTGTGCCCCATTGCATATGCTAGCAGAGGGTTAAAGCCTACTGAACGCAATATGTCAAACTACAGTTCTATGAAACTTGAGTTCTTGGCCTTGAAATGGGCTATGGCAGAGAAGTTTAGAGAATACCTCTTGGGTCATAAATGTGTTGTTTATACCGATAACAATCCTCTAAGCCATTTGTCCACAGCAAAACTGGGTGCATTGGAACAACGCTGGGCTGCTCAACTTTCATCATTTGACTTTTCTATTAAGTATCGCCCAGGCCGCTCAAATGGCAATGCTGATGCACTGTCGCCCCAGTACGAACAGTCAGAGTCAATGGCACCAATTGAGGCTGTGTTGCCAGGCACCTCTCTTCCTGACACTTTACTCCAGACCAAAGCCATGCCCCATCAGCAGGTAACTCAATCCATTGTCTCTGTTTTGCCATCTTATTCATCTGCTGATCTTGCGGCTTTACAGAGAGACGACCCTACCATCGGTGTGTTCCTGAAATTTTGGCACAGGGGGGCAGGTCCAAACCGACAGGAACGGACAAATCTACCTGCAACAGTACTGGAAATGTTGCGTCAGTGGAAGAAGCTGGTGGAGTGGGATGGTGTCCTCCAACTTTTCGGCTGGATGGTGGAGAGGCGATGCGCCAACTAGTGTTGCCACAAAGCTTAAAAACTGAAGTCTTGCATCAGTTGCATAATGATCATGGCCACCAGGGGCTGGACAGAACCCTCGAATTGGTGCGGCAGAGATGCTATTGGCCTGGCATGCTGAAAGAAATTCAGCATTATTGTCAACAGTGTGAACGTTGTGCCTTAGCCAAAGCAGTTTATCCCAAACCAAAGACAACAATGGGCCATCTTCTGGCCTCCAGGCCTAACCAGATTCTAGCCATGGATTTTACATATCTAGAGCCTTCTGCTGATGGCCGGGAAAATGTGTTGATTCTAACTGATGTGTTTTCTAAATACACACAGGCCATTGCTACCAGGGACCAAAAGTCAACCACTGTAGCCCGGGTACTGGTTCATGAGTGGTTCTACCGCTTCGGTGTCCCTGCTAGGATCCATTCAGATCAAGGGAGGAGTTTTGAAGGGGCCGTGATCCAACAACTGTGTCAACTGTATGGTGTGGAAAAGACCCGCACTACTCCATATCACCCACAAGGTAATGGACAGTGTGAACGCTTTAATAGGACATTGCATGATCTTTTGAGAACTTTGCCCCCCGAGCAGAAAAGTAATTGGCCACCCTACCTGCAACAGCTTACATTTGCCTACAACACCACTGTTCATCAATCTACGGGTGAACAGCCCTACTTTCTCATGTTTGGATTGGAGCCTCAGCTCCCAATTGACTTCCTGCTGGGAAGAGTTGAAGAGCCAGTGCACGGCCCTGTCCACAGCTGGGTACAAGATCACCAGAAACGCCTTAACGTTGCTTATGAGGGAGCCAGGAAACGGATGCAGATAGCAGCACATAAACGTGCAGAGCGGCATGCTGCACCAGCCTCTGACCCACTGCAATTACATCAGCTGGTGTTTCTCAGAGACCATAGCAGAAGAGGCAGAAATAAAATTCAAGACCACTGGAGCCCCACACCCTACCGTATCCTCAAAGTCCCTGATAATGCTGGTCCAGTGTATACAGTGGCACCCCTGGATCATCCGGAAAAGGTAAAACATGTTAATAGACAGTCCATCAAACCAATTCCCAGTAACCTTTGTGAAAACTTTAACAGGGATGCAGAGAGGACCACTAACCCCACCCTCCCCCCTGAGACGCAGTTGA